ACTATTATAAATTACTATCTCTTTAAGAACTTACTATTCTTAAATTAGTAGATAGCTTATAAGTTACTAGTGTTATATATATAGCTTAGGTCTATATTATATTTAACTACTATAAAGAATAAGTTCTTACCTATATTATAAAGCTTAGTAGTATATAGATAATACTTAGTACTTTATAGTTCTAAATCTATAATCTATAAATAGACTAGAATACTATATTACTTATATTTTATTCTAACTACTACTTATACTATTTTATATAAAATTATTAACTCTACTATATAGTAAGTAGCTAGTATTATAAACGCTTTATACCTTTTTATTATAAGCTTAAAAAGGCTTAATACTCTAAAGCTCTCTCTTCTATTAATATTACCTTTATTACTAGTTAAGTTACTACTATTTCTATTAGATATAGAAATAATATCTATATAACTACTATAGAGAAAGTAAAATAACTCTATAATATAAGTAACTAGAAATAGACTAAGATAGAAGTACTATAAGCTACTAGCGCTAGAATTTAATTTCTATAGATAGCTAGTGCTAAGATTCTATCTAAAAACTTTAAGAAGTTCTAAGACTAAATAGAATAATCTACTATAAGTAAGAAGAAAAGTCTAGCTAAGCTCTCTTTAGTTTTCTATTCTTTTTATTAGAGATTTAATCTATAAGAAGCTAATAAAGTCTCTTTTTACTAGAATAAGCTAGATTACTATATTAAGATTTAGCTTAATAGTAAAACTAGTTATCTACTAAAGCTATTCTTCTAGAAGCTACGCTTTCTATCTAGAGATAAAGCTAGAGCTATTAAACTCTATATTAATAATATAATCTAGAAGAGATATATTAAATAAAGTATATTTAAGTAGACTACTTCTTTTCTTATTATAAAGAAACTAGAAGATAGTATATATATTTACGTTAATTACTATAGCCTTACTATATATACTATTAAAAACTAAAATACTTTACTACTTATCTATAATAAATTAACTAAGCTATTAAAGGCGTAGTTTTCTTCTAAAGTTAATATTATTATAGCTTTTAATAAGATTTAAATTAAAGATAAATATATATATCTTTTAGTATTTATTACTCTCTATAGCTTATATTAATATACTATTATACTCTTTAGTATATATAATAGTCTAGGCACTTTCTAAGTATATATTAATAATATTCTATATAAATACTTAGATAAGTTCTATATAGCGTACTTTAATAATATTATTATCTTTAGTAAAATAAAAGAATAATATAATAACTATTTAAAATAAGTAGTTACTTATCTCTCTAATACTAGCTTATCTATAGATCTACTTAAGTCTAAGTTTATAAAATATAAAGTTAAATTCTTAAATCTTATTATAACTACTAATAGAATTAAGATAGACTTAGAAAAGATCTAAGTAATCTAGAAATAGTAGCTACTACGTACACTAAAGAATATATAAGCATTTCTAGAGTTTATAAACTTCTATAAATAATTTATATATAGTTTCTTTAATATTATAAAAATACTTACTTATCTAACTTATAAAGATTCTAAGATATTAAAAATAAACTTAAAAGCTTTATACTCTTTTTACTAACTTAAGAAAGCTTTTTATAGTAATATTATTCTTATCTATTTTAATATAAACTTAAAATATATTATAGAAATAAACGCCTTAGACTATATCTACGTAGTAGTACTTTTATAAATATAATAAGATAGAAGTATTTAGCTAGTTATCTATCTCTTAAAGAAAATAACTCTAACTAAGTATAACTCTAAAATCTATAATAAAAAGCTTTTTACTATTATTAGAGCTTTTAAAGAATAGCGCCTAGAGCTAGCTAGAGTTAATAATACTATAGAAGTTCTTACTAACTATAAAGGCTTAGAGTACTTCTATACTAAACGCTATTTTAACTATTAATAAGCTTAATAAGCTAAGTTTATAAAGAAATTTAACTTTAGAGTAAAGTATTATTCTAGTAAATAGAGCACTAAATCTAATAGTCTTATATAATATATAAGAGATCTTCTAGAGTATATAACTAATAATAGAATATAGTATTAGTATTAAACTATTCTTAGTAAATATTAATAGAATAGTAGTAGTTACTATACTATCTATCTTACTAGACTCTATCTATAAAAAGCTATATATAACCTAGTATCTTTTATTATAATTTTTTATAAAGCTAGAGAAAGTAATCTAGATATAAATAGCTTTATAGTTAGACTTACTTAACTATTACTTTATAGAGAACTTAACTCTTATAATAAAGTCTCTAACATAGCTAAAATACCTACTTAGACTATTATTAATTACTTCTACTTTTTTAATATACGTTTTATAGCTATTTAATATACTTTTTATAATAGTAATTACTATATACTATACTACTTTATTATTAAAAGCGTGTAACTAGAGCTAAAAGATATTAAAAACTATAATAGTAAGCTTTATATAAAAAGTAACTATTTTATAATTCTATTTAGTAAGAAGCTCTATACCTACGTTATCTAAGATATTTATAACTTCTTACTTAGAGAATATAAAGATAGAACTACTACTTACTAGTAAGTTAGCTAGTAGTACTACTAGTAGAGTATAATAGATATAATTATCTAGTTTACTAATAGTTATACTACTTATTAAAGGTCTAAAACTAGCTATAACACTAAATATAGACTTCTCTATCTACTCTCTATTTCTAAGCATTACTAAAAGAATATCTTTATTAACTTTATTACTTTACTACTTTTATTTAGTTAGTATAGTTATATCTATTAATACGTTATAGTTATTATTAATTATTACTCTAAGAAAAAGAAGTTTATTACTATAAAAAATATAGAAGTACTTATAGTAGTAGATAAGTTTATTAAATATATATAGCGTAAAAAAGAATACCTATATAGTATTATTAGTAATAAAGAATATTAATTTATATTCTACTTCTAGAGATAGTTATATAACTAGATAGATACTAGGCCTAAGTTATTAATCTTATACTATCTAGAAATAGATAGATAGACTAAGAACGCTAATATAGATTTAAAATAGTATTTCTAATTATATCTTAATTACCTATAAAATAATTAGATATACTTATTATATTTTACTAAATTTAAAGCAAATTCTATAATTAGCTTAGTAACTAGAGTTTTACTATTCTAGACTACTAAGAGCTACTAACTCTATTTAGAACTAGAATTTATATATATTATAAATACGCTACCTACTACTCTTACTTAATAATATAATAGTAATACTCTTATCTAGCGTATTAAGACTATCTACTAATACTTTTATAATAAAATTATATAGTTCTAAGAGAAGATATATAACTTTACTAATATTTATTATTACTTTATACTTTATTTCTAGGTTAGAAACTAAGTTCTACTTAACGTAAAATATATTAAGACTAAATAACTAGTTAAGTTTCTTAATTATAAGAATATAAGGCTATATTAGATTTTTTAAGTAATTAATAATATAGCTTATAAATTAAATCTTCTAGCTAGTCTAAAAGAACTATTTCTAGTCTTCTAATCTTAGCTACTATAACTATATAAGAATAATACTCTTTCTAGTTAACTATAAGCTAGTAATATTACTTTCTCTAAAGTCTACTTTATTAATAGTAAAGTTAAATACTTTATTACCTAAGTTCTAGATAGTTATATTAACTAATAGAATATTAATTTTTATATAAACTACTATAGTTATTTATAGTATAAAGTAAAATAGATTAGTAATAATTAATTTAATAACTAGTAGCTCTACTATAACTTAAAGAGAAGTAAGAAAGCTATCTAGAATAACTATAATTAGAATCTAAGTACGCTAGAATCTTATAATATATTCTATGTATATAATAACTATAAAGAGCTTACTATTACTCTACTCTATCTAGAGAATACTATATACTTAGAAAGAACTAGCTAGTTATTTATAAAGTTACTAAACTATATTACTTTTAAAGTTTATTAGATAGACTATAATATATATTTCTATTTAACTTTAACTTTTCTAAGTACTAGTAGCTATAAGATAACTCTAAGTTACTCTACTTACTACTTTATATTCTTACCTAGAATAAAGTTCTCTATATAGGTACCTTAGCCTACTTATTACCTATACTTACTACTTTTTTTCTTATTACTATCTAAGAATACTATAAATATTAGTATATAGCTTAGATTCTCTAAAGAAGATATAGCTAAGCTATCTACTTTTAAGTTTACTTTTTAAATACTTAGTTAGAACTTTAAGTATTTTAGAGAGAAAATATATAATAGTTTAGATTCTTAGCTATATTAGCTACGTTAGCTTATATTAGGCTAATACTTTCTATAGTATATATTTACTTCTAATAGCTTCTTATAAGCTTCTTACTATAATTACTTTATTATTTCTATCTATTACCTATAAGACTCTTATAGTAATACTTAAGTAAAACTCTTTTTTATTTTCTTAGATAAGGTAGAGTATCTACTTAGCTATTTTAAGATTTATTAGTACTAGTTTCTATTTCTATTTACTTTATCTTTTTTATCTTATATATATAATAACTATTTTCTTAATTTTTTTAATAGAGTAGTATATAATTTAAGTATAAAATATAATATTTTATACTCTTTTACTTTCTATTATAATAAGTAAATAATATAATTAATCTTTACTATTAGTTACCTTATACTATAGAATAAATTAGATTTTTTTTTAATATTTCTTTTTTAAAGTTAACTTAGATATTATTCTTAGAAGTATAAATAGAATAGTAATAACTTAAATATTTCTACGCCTAGGTAAGTAAAGTTAATACTAAACTAAAAAGTACTAAACTTTCTTTAGTAAATACACTTGTCTATATACTATTAAGAGATAAAAGTAATCTTAGTAGCCTTCTATAATAGGTTTTTACCTAAGAGAGAGATTACTTTAGCGACTTTGCGATATACACAGCTCTATGTCTACTTACTCGTGCTTTAAGACCTATTTATAGTGTACAGCAGATCGAGTACAACCTCGGGAGCCGTCGACGACCGCAAGACTACCGCCCGAGTTGTTGCTACCCCGCAGGTGCTTTTTCTCCCACTCGCGTAGCTCCGTCTCTTTATCAAGCGGTTCGCTTAGTGTAGGCGACACTGCAGAAACACCATCGACTTGCTCTAGCCATGCCACAACTGAATATGACATCGTAAAACCCAGAACGGAAATCGCGCTATCACGGCGATACAACGCCTCATGGTCCGCTTCGTTGCCGTCGTCTTCCCCAGAAGCACCAGTCTCTTCTTCTCCATCCTTAGCCTCAGCTTCATCCTCGTCTTCTTCCGTTGGGGCGATAGGTGACACAGGTTCTTCCTCATCATCACCCTCAACCTCAACCACATCCCAAACCCTACCATCATCTCTCGTCCACGCCTCAGTCCCATTTAACGGACTGAACGGCGTTTCGCCATATTCGTTGATGCAATCGAGCGTAGCCAGCTTGACAGACAGTTTCACTCCCGGTTCGCTGTGGACGGGTGGAACGCTTGGTATCTCGCCGCTGGGCCATAGCTTTGGTAGCGCTGCGGCGAAGGTCTGCCAGGCACGTTGTTTCCCATTTGCAGTCCACTTCTGTCGGTAGCGGGCGAGAGTTCCGGAAAGGCCGTCGCGGTAGATTTGGTGCTCGACGAGTGCGATGGTCTCGGTGATGTTTGTTGGATTCGAGAAAGGCGGAGAGGAATGGATGTCAACGGAGGTTTTCCGGACGCGCACCAACTGCGTCTCAGTAGGCCGACCATCCCTCGATCCTTCTCCTCTGGTCCCATTCTCTTCCATGCGCACAGCACCCTTGTCTGTCCACTGTTGCGCACTCCACGCAGGATTCACCAGCGTAGGATCATCCCACCCCCCCTCCCTCGCCCAGAAGTAATAATGCGGTACATCGCACCCGGGAAACCTAACGAAGAACAAATTCTCCAAGCTCTTCTTCCCCAAACCATGTTGAACCGGCTCACCACACTCCAGGTAAGCAGGCACATAGCACATAGCCAACGGCCGATACTGCGACGCCTCATACACCTCCGCCGTCATCTTGGCTTTATTCCTCTGCCGTTGCGCGTGGCGTGCAGCACGATCACTAGGATCGCCATTGCCTTTCCCTTTGACGCGGAGTAGTTTCCTGTTTTCAAGATACCACTTGTTGTATGTGTCGGCTAGCACTTTCGTTTCGTTTCGCGATCCGAGATGAAAGTACATGTGGCCATTGCATCCCTGGATGAGCGTACGTTGAGCCCAATCCGTCCCTCTCTCGATGCTGGCTTTGCGGAGCGGGCCAAGGAGATGGCCGTTACGCGCTGCGGATCGGACCAAGGGGTTGAGGATGGGTACGAAGTCGGGATGGACGCCTGGTGGGTACTTCGCTCCTGGCAGTATGAGCTTTTGCTTGCTATACATCGTTGTAATCTTGAGAGGTGCATAAGGTACAGGACAAGGCAAGGGCAACGGGCACCATCTTTTGTAATCCCAACCTCCAGGTTTGACTGATGGCATAGTTTGGTTGGGCCATTCGAAAAGGCGGAGTCTGCGACCAGGCTCGTAGATCTGGTTTACTGATGCAGCACTAGACTCTGAAGAACTGCTATCCCACGATTCCTCACTGAGCGCCTCGCCGAATCTCTCGCGGTTGTACTCGTTCCCTGCGTCTTCGTCGTCTTCCGAGTCGGGATCACTCACAGTGTCGTCACTGACGCTTTCGTCACGCTCTCTCCTCTCCTCTTTCTCTCTTCTTTTCTTTTGCTTGGCAATGAGCTGTGCCTTCTTCTCCGCAGCCTTTCTCTCCTCTTCCTTCTTTGCCTCCTCCAGCTTCCTTTGCCGAGCAATACGGGCGTCCTGTTCAGCACGCTTTCTATTCTCGTCGTTGTGCTTCAAGGCCCAAGCCATCTCAACCTTCTTCATGTCCTTGCGGTAGATACTACGCTCTTTCGCTGTTTCGACTAGCTCTTTGTAGTTCAGGTTGTCGTAGACGGAGTCGGTCTTGTTCTCATCGCGTACTTTGTGCGTACCGCCGCGTCTGTGCGATGAGCCTTGGTGGGTCTCATACGGCTCTGCAGAGCCGTGGTACGGTCGCGGGTTACGCCTCTTGGCTTTGCCTTTTGGCATCGTAGTGGCAGTCGTGAAGTGTTTAGTGGAATATTTGCAAACGGGTAAACGCTCGTATTCCAGAAAACGAGCATTGGTTACTAGAAGCGCATACAGTGTGAGAGGAATGCGGAAGTGACGATCGAGACATTGCTACGAATACAACTTCAAGAGATCACGTGTATTGGCCACACAAGTGTCTTTAACGAGTCACGGGTCAAAGACATGCGAAAGGTCTGCTTTGTGAACATGACTTGCCTTTGTCTCTGTAAGCATCACCAAGCGAGGTGTCGAGTCGTTCATAACGTGTCACAATGCGCTGCACAGCTCGATTATACATTCGAAACAATTCATTCGTAGGGTCTAGGGTATCTCACTACGGTACGTTAACTTACATGCATTCAAGTTGATGGGAAGATGCTTACAGTTCCGACTTCTCGCCATCCAACTTCCGCTTCTCTGCCTTGAAGTCGAAAAAGCCCTCTAGCTCCATCCACTCTGCAGTGAAGGCCATGACCAGCTTCGTCCAGTCCTCTACCGTATCCATATCCAAGTGCTCTCCGTCGTCTTCAATCGTGTGCCATACATGCGGGAAGGGCGTAGGGATCATGTGCAGGATCTCGACGCCGCGAGCCATGAACGGAACGTGGTCGTCCTGTACGAAGCCGCCCATGAACTGATCATTTCCTTTGTTCGCATCGGGCAGGAACGGACGTTCGTCGCGAGGCTTCTTGTTCTCGCGCTTTGCCATCTTCGACTCGTGGTTTGGGGACGACTTCATTAAGCCTAGCTTGCGCAGGCGTGCCTCGGCAGTCGCCATGTGCTTATATGCCCAATGTGTCGTCTTGAAGTATGAGGGGACCTTTGGACCCTTGGAGCCCAGAAGGTCAAGTAGCAGGAATAGGTCGATCGAATCGAGCGGAGTGCGGTATATCGACGATGCGACATGGAACGTCGACTCCCAGTCTTCAGCGAGAGCTCTATAGATGTTGTCAGCACTTGATGTCGAAGGAGGAGAAAGGTTCATACCGCGCGCCATAGAGACTGTCGCTGTCGGTCCAGCTCTTGAACGCCTCCTCGCCGTCCAGCAAGAGTATCTGCACACCCTTGTGCTCCACGTCGAAGTCGTCGGGGTCGGCCGCCGCCCATTTCTTCGTCAGCGCCGCATCGATGCTGCGCGCTATATGCAGAATCATGGCGCATGGGGCCGCGCTGTCGGTCGCCCCAATGAAGCCAGTCGGCGTGTACTTGCTGTCGTAGTGGGCCACGAGAGCCAATCTCGAGACGTCGCCCTCGGAGCTACCCGGCGGATCGCGTGTCGCAATGATGTTCACGAAAGGGACCTCCTTGCCCTTGCTCACGGGCGTCGTCGACGTCGAGTTGTGCATTTCCAGCCTCCATTCCGGCAATTGCGACTTGAAGAAGTCCAGAAAATGTTGGCGTACGGCGACATTGCCTTCGGTTCCAGAGACTCTGGGAACCAGAATCGGCGCCAGCAAAGAGCCTTTCTTTATATCGAAGTCATCGCCCGGTCCCGGCAGGTGCTTGAGTGTGTGGTCGCTGAGACCCTGGTAGGCGTATCCGAGGGACAAGAAGGAAACGAGCGACAGCAGCGCGAATGCGAACAACATGCTCGCGACTGGTCACATGAAGAACCTCGACAAAGTTAAAACACTGCAACAGATAGCTCACGACCGAGAAAGGAGCATGACGGCGCCGGTCGTTGAGTGGGCCGCTTGTAGCTGGTCGAGGGAACCGTGGCATCTCTCCGCACATGAGCTTGACCCGCTTCGGCTAGAGTTGCCGCGGCGAGCCGATCATCCCACGTGACACCGTGACATTTCGACAAGCACCATCGCAGCCCATCCACGTCCCTACACGTCCGTACGGCTTCATTGCTGAGTAAGCCTCGTGCTAAGTCCGACATCCAGCGGCCAAACCTCGCGGTCGCGCAGCGAAGGGATCCAGCGCATCGAGGCCTAACGAAGCCCACACACGTGTGCAATTTTCTTCACGGCCATTGACTGCGCAGGTGCAGACAGCATGCAGCCACGGCTTCTCGCCTTTGCGGCCGCTTTTCGAAGCACAGCGCCCACACTTAGGAGTACACGACCAGTCGCTCAAGCTCGCCTCAATGGATACATCTGCCGGAGTTGCCAACGAAAATTCACCTCAATACGCAGAGATCCCACATTACCATCACAACGGGGACGAAAGCCCAAGTCGGCACCCGAACCAGTCGGAAAAGAGAACGAGAAGAGTATGTTATGGCTCGAACGTAGTCGGACGACGAACAAGAAGCAATCATCGTTAACGAAGATGTCCAGTGTATGCGTCAAGACTACTGATCTACGACGCGGGCGACGCACGAACGACGTGGATATCTTTTTGGAAGGCAATGGCCTTGTTGCAATTCGGCACAACTCTCGTCTTCGGTGTACCTCCATTGTGGAACAACGAGAATCAACCTGATGAGAGAGTACGGAAGATGCAGGCCATAACCGGTAAGTGGACTTTGTTAATACTTGGTGAACTGTCACGACCCGAACCTCTTCATCTACAACTTTTCTTGCCAAATGCACCGAACCAATTCCCATCTCGCGTCACTTCGATTCGCTCTGGATCTGATCTCGTTATACGTGGGCATCTATCTTTTACCCCCCTGATTTGCCAGACCCATCTTGCTCAGGTCGGAAACAGCACTCATCACGTGGTGGCGGCATTATGTTATCCCACATACTCCCTCACCCACGACCTCCTCTCAAAACCCAACCACCAAAAGCCACGCCCCAATACTAACACCCCCCAGTCGGCATCCTCGGCACCATCCCCACCCTAACCCTCGCCTACCTAACCGCCCCCTTCGTCCACCAAGTCTTCCTCCAAATCCCCACCACCGCCAACTACGCGCGCCGCTCCCGGCCCGAACTCCTCCGCTTCGCCAGGTCGCTCCGCCAAAACACCGCCGCCACCGCAAACACGAAGCTCGAATTCGTGACTTTGCGAATCTTCCCCTTCCGCAAACACACCACCGCTTTCCTGCACGAACTCCGGGCTCTGCCGCCGAAAAAACTGCGTTTAGCAAACATTGAGTTACCGAAGAGTGAAGCGTGGGTTAAGAGGCAAAGGGAGAAGGGTATTTTCAAGCGTGTGATTGAAGTGATGAGTGAGCCACGTTTCAAATTCTACGTCAAAGAAGGGCGGTTGTACACGATGAAGACGGGTGTGCCAGGCGTGTGGGAAGAGGTGGCTATGAGGATCCAGGAGCAGACTGTTGAGGAAGCGGAGAGGGAGAGAGTAGAGCGGGAGAACGGGAAGCGGGGTGTTGGGGCGAGGAAGGAGGTGCCGAAGAAACCGGTGGTCACGACTGTTGCGAGGCGTAGTGGGGGTGAGGCCAAGGTCGCGAGGCAAACTACGAGGAGGGTGACTCCATGGTGAATAATAACCTTGAGGTTTGCGATCCAATGTATCAAGATAGAACGATTTGCTAAGCGAAAGAGTATATACAAGTCGTCCGTTCCCGATAGCCCCTAACCCCAACTAGTTTACTCGATTTAACATGTCTACTGAAGCATGAATTATGCCTGCTCCAGAACCTCTGGCTTCTCCTTCTCCATGCTGCCCTTGTGGAAGTCGGCGACACCGTCGTCATGCACGAGGCCAGAGCGCGCGAGAAGGTCGGTAAGTCCGACTTCGCGGTGAACCTCGGCCCAGCGCTCCTTCTCGCGCTCTGCAGTACCGGCGGAGCCAAAGAGGGTGTCCATTTCTTCCTGGGAGGGTCGTTAGCAAACAGCACGCATGCAGATGGTCGAGTGGAAAAACTTACGAGAGAAACGCCCTTGGTCTCCGGGAAGAAGAAGAAGATAAACGCCGCGCCCATGGCGGTGAAGATACCGAAGAAGATGTAGGTGCCATAGCGAAGATGCGTAAGCATATCCGGGGTGACTTGACCGACGATGAAGTTGTTCATCCAGTTAGACGAAGCACCAAGCGCGATACCATACGGACGGTTAGACATGGGCCAGATCTCCGCGATGACAATCCAAGCACATGGACCCCATGAGTAGCCGAAGAAGATGACAAAGAGCCACACGAAGACACAGGCAGCCCAACCAGCACCCTGGTGGCTGGCCCAGCTGTCCTCGTAGCTGGCAGAGATACCGGCGATGATGAAGTGACAGGCTGCCATGCCGATGGCGCCGCTGACGAGTACGGGCTTACGACCCAGTTTGTCGACGTACATGACCGCAGGGACTGTAGATTCGTTAGCGCGAGGACGTCAAGTGGTTAGTTACGGTGAGAACTTACTTGTTGCGAGGAACATGACGATACCAACAACACCTGTGGCGAGAAGGTTGATCGAATTGCCCGATAGCCCAAGGTCTTGGAAGATGCTTGGGGCATAGTACAGAATGGCGTTGATGCCCGTCTAAACGTTGGTGAATCAGTCAGTAAATATCCTATATGCGGTCCGCAGGTGGTCACTTACCCATTGTTGGAAGAACATGGTGAGCGTGGAGATCAGGACACGCTTGAACATGCCCCTAGTAGTGAAGAGACTGCCAATGGCGACGAATTGCAGCTTGAAGACCGACAACGCGCTCATGTCCTGAAGATGGGGGAAGCGCTCGGCCAGAGACTTCTTCTCGAAGAGACTTTGCGCGCGGATCTCGGCGTACTCAAGCTCGATGAGTTCGTGCTCCTGGGGAAGGCTACGAAGGTTGGCGAGTACACGGCGCGCCTCTGCCTCACGGCCGTGATGGACGAGCCAACGGGGAGAGAAAGGCATGAAGATCATACCAGCACCGAGAAGCACAGCGGGAGCCAGTTGCAGAGCGAGAGGGAGAAGCCAAGCAGCCTCCTTCTGTCCGTCTCTCCCAGTGCCACCGATGTAGTTGGTGCCGTAGTCGATCCAGAAACTGATCATGATACCCAGGGTAATGCTCAATTGCTGAAGACCCACAAGCGCACCTCGCACTTCGGGAGGTGCGATCTCGGCGTTGTACATGGGGACAATCATG